TGGCATAAACTGTTCTGATCCTCTCAGGGTCACTGGGAATTTGTTACATGTGTGTGCATGAAACATCTAGCTTGATCTTATAGAAATGGATATCAGGGAGGAGACAGCTTTTATTCCTATTAACAGTAAAATTCTTCGACTCTCTTCAAGAGGCACACACAATGAGCGGACAAAGACTTGACAAGGAGGACTTGAAGCTTCTCCAGAGCTGCCCCAAGGCACTGTGTTGCCTGAGGTGAAGGACGAGGTGCCCCTCCTTGGGCCTGCACTTGGACCAGTGGTTGACTCTTAGTTCAGCACTGGGGATAGGGCAGCTTCCTTCACTTCACTGAAGGGCTGTAGCTCGCCTACTGGGGTGCAAGGCACATGGCTCGAAACACACAGCTCTGAGCTCCAACAGAGGAGAATAACCCTCATTTTGGAAGCTGGCCTTGAGCAAGCTGATCATTGCCTCAAGCCTAATGATAGGGCTGGCTCTGAGTTTTAGTAACTGCTTCCACTTTCCATATAGATATATAAAGAACCCTGGCGCACCTGCATCTGTAGCTTTATAAGCAGGGGGAGAAAAAACAGAAGGTTGCTCATTCAGTTTGTAATGGCCTGTTGGTGTCAGTTAGAGCATACGCTCACATTGCAATTGGAAAGCAACAGATTGTAGTAAATCACTACCGAGCTTCATTCTGCATTTTCTCTTATTAGTAAATCGCTTAGCACAACTATTGCTTCCTCCTTTATTCCTTCCATGCTTAGCTGGAACATTTTGAGTAATCTGAATTCATTGTAGACTGGGGCCCTAATGGTTGTTCTCCAGCTGCTGTGCTTTGTTGTGTTTTTGTTTGTTTGTTTGTTTTTGCTTTTTCCCTGCAGGACTTGACCGTTCGGGATGATCATTTTGGATATTTTGAACCAAAGGTAGATGCATTTTGTTTTCATGATATTGCACAGTGGTCTGTGCATCATGTCCTTGGACACATAAAGAAAACACCCAGTTTCTAAAATATTAAAACGAAAATTCCTGAATAGGAATGAAGACAAATGGTTGGCATTTTTCATCACATTAACTGGTTTGCTGTTATTGAAAGGCTGTTGCCCAGAACCATATAACTCTACCTGCCCCTCTTATTTCATATGATGTTACATTTGCACAATTATACTTTTATGCTACTGTGTTTATAATTCCAGTGTAACACTGCAGGCCTCCAAACCTGGTTCCATCTTTCCTTTCTGATTGCCTTACCTTGATATTTCTTTGCTCTTGGAAAAATCCCCATCTTTTTCTTTGTTTGATGCCCCATCCTTGTTTTGCAAGCAGGGCACATCTTTCGTACATTAATGCTCTCCTAGGCAAATGGAGAGTTTGCTCTTTGCAAACTAGCTTCACTAGTAATATTTCAAAAAAGGTATGATTAAAAATTGGACAGCTTTGGGGCCTTATCCTCTTTTGCTGACCTCTTTTGTTATCATTCATGTTTGTACAAAATGGGGGGAAAGTGCTGAGGCACAGAAGAAATGTCAGAAGCATTTTCTCTTTTGTTTAAACATTTGGTTTGAGGCTTCTCTGCATAAGCCATTTATTTTGAGGTTGTGATCCCTCACTCACAGAAGTTTGTGGCACCTTTTCATGACATCATCTTCTTCCAGGCCCTCTCCTGAGTTTTCCGGATATTTTTGCAGCTCTTTTTAAAGCAAGGAAAGTCTGATATTTTCCTAGATGACTCTATACAGAAACCTGATGTATTTTTGCAATTCTGTTGTATACCTATAGTATAAGGTCAGCTGTTGTGTAATGGAACATAGAGAAAGACACCCCCTGGGGGGCGGGGAACTTCATGTGAACAATGCTCCAGTCCTTCCCTAAAGAAAATGGAAGAAGCAGCTTGCTAAAGCTCTGGTTTATATTCCTCACGCAGAGAAGTCTTAGAGTCTCTCCTCCCCACATTAAGGGTCATAATGTTTGTCAAGGGTTTGGTTCATTGTTTAAAAATATTCACAAGTTGCCTTTCTGGACCAACTCAGCCTTTGTGTTATTAATTTTTCTTCAACAACTAGTTGATGCAGGTGGGATGAAAGCCAGACTGGAACTACGGCTGGGATCGCCTCCACTTCACCAAAATAAAACCAACCTCAGAAGGGCAAACCGTGTGATAAATGTCATTTTGGTTTGGCCCTGAGTCACCTCTGCTGTGGATGAGCTGAAATCAGCCAACATCTTGCTCAATTTTTATAGCCAAGTCGAACTGAACATTCATTTATTTTTTCCCCATTCATTTCTTCCTTATCTTTTCAAATGTAAGCATCTCGGGGCGGGGACTTGTATTTTTATTTTGCAAAGTGCCATTCTAAATTACATGTTATCATAAACAGATGGTTACCACCCATTCACATCTCCTGGATTATGCTTGAAATGTTAAAGAAGATGCACAATATGAAATGATTGTATTCACTGTTTATCTGGTCCACTGCACTGGAGCAGGGGAATTTCTGAGCGCGATGACATTACATCACACATCAGCTCTAGAGTTCAGTCAACTAGACAATAGCTGAAATATGTTATATTGCATTTTCATAGATTTTAATGCTAAAACAATATTATTTCAGATGCCTCCAATCTACATTGGGAACACAGAAGCGAAGTGGTGGCTGTCCTTTTGCTTGTGCTATTTTCTGGTGAAAATGCCTCCCCACCACCAGCCTCACCTGTCAGTTGACCTGAAAGGGAGAGAATGTGGGCTAGCAGATCTAACATGTAATTTTGCTCTTGAATCTGTGAGTACTCATCCCTACTTTGTAATCTGTTTGTTCTTGGAAAGAACAACTCTACTGACACAGCCAGATCCAGGAGTATCCTCACTGTGAGCACCTGGTCTCTTTGGGAGTGGTTCTGTCCAAAACAGGTTCTGTACCATTTCCCTGATTCCCAAAATATCTACTGACAGTGTCTCTGTCTTGTCATGGTCCAGCTTCAGTTTACTGGCCCTAATCTGGCCCATCACCACCTCCCAACAATGGTTCAACTTTGTTACAGCCTCACCTGATTTGGTTGACAAGGAGAAGTAGAGCTGGGTGCCATCAACATTCTGGTGGCAGTTTGTTCTAATTCCCTGCATGACTCGCTCAGACAGCTTCATATGGATGTTAAAAAGGAGACATGAAACCCCAGAACAGAAGGACTGTGGGGTTGAGCAGGAGCTCCCCACTCTTCTAGGGCTCACCCTTGTACTCTGCCCCCTATACATAGTGTATTCAGTTGGTCTAGGTCAGTGGTGGTGAACCTGTGGCACGCGTGCCACAGCGGGCACACAGAGCCCTCTCTGTCAGCACACGAGTCAAGTCACCCCAGCATTGCCCCAGCAGCTGAGCATTGGATAACAATGCACATAGGGGCCATGCGCATGCTCAGAAAGGAGTAGCGGCACCAGGTGATGATGTTACAAGCTGCGACTCATTAGCCATGACCCATCCGAGCTTCTGTATGGCCAGTCAGGAGATATATATATATATATATATATTTGCTTAGACTGGCTGTGAGGTGTTATTTGTAAACTAAAACCTCAGTGTTCAGGTTTTACTGTGTTTAGAATGGGCAGAAATGATGAGCTGTGCAGAAAAAGCTACTCAAGGAAGGCCTTTTCAAAATCGCCCTCTTTTCTATGGAACTTTAGCCCTATATTAGGGTTAGGGGTGTGCACCAGGGCAGGGTTAGGGTTAGAAAACCGAGGTGCCCTGGCATGGTTTTGATGGTTGGAATGTGTTTAGAATGGACAGAAAGGATGAGCAGTGCAGAAAAATTTACTCAAGGATGGATTTTTCAAACTTGTCCTCTTTTCAATGGTATTTTACCCCTATACTAGGGCTAGGGGAGCACACCAGGGTAGGGTTCGGGCAGTGGTGGTGAGCCTGTGGCACGCTTGGCATAGTAGGCATGCAGAGCCTTCTCTGTCGGCACATGAGCCAAGTCACGCCAGCATCGCCCCAGCAGCCGAGCATCAGGTAACAGTGCACATAGGGGCCATGCGCACGCTTGCAAAGGAGTAGTGGTGCCAGGTGATGACATCACGAGCCGTAACTCATTAGCCGCAACTCGTCTGATTTTTCATATGGCTGGTCAGTGCATTGCCAAGTGTGTATATATATATATACGCTTGGACTGGCTGCGGATTGTTTTTTCTAAACTAAAACTGCAGCTTTCAGTTTTTATTGTAGTGTTGACACTTTGCGATAAATAAGTGTGTTTTGGGTTGCAGTTTGGGCACTCGGTCTCTAAAAGTTTCACCATCACTTTTCTAGGTGATGATATCAAAAGGAATCAATGTAGGAAATCCAACTTCTTGGTGGTACAGGAAATACAGTACTATAGTACCCCAATATGTGGTCATCCAGCCTCTTAACTGTATTTAAAAAAAATATCAAGGCTGCTCTGGGAAATTTAACTCTCAGATGAAGACAACATTGCACGCTACTCTGCTCCATTTAGAGAAGCCAGCTGGATGTATAGTTTATTTTAACTCTGATACTTGCAAAGGGATAGCATCATTCACTACACCCAAGTGCAGCTGGCTATCTTAGAGGTGTGTGCTGGATAGGCCTATACTGTCTATAGAAATTGCCTGTATCTGATTTCACAGAAGCTGTAGTGTAACTTGCTCAAATCAAATTACATTGGGTTCTTAACCCATGCGTGTTATGTTCTATTCACTACATCCTCTGGCTTTGGCTGATTCATAGTTTTTGACAGTGTTCTTATCTGTAAGCACCATTTCTTGTTCTGGCTTCCTTCTTGGTGCCCTTGGAAGATCACAACCCCTTACACCCGTTCAACAAGCCCAGGCAAATGGGTTTAGTAGACAGAGTAACAGATGCAGGAGAAAAACCCAGAAGACCATTCCTGTGCTACAGAAAAAGTAGAACACCCATATAAGGAGAAACGTTCTGGCCCTTTTGAGATCCCTAACCTCTGCTTCCCATCTGAAGAACCAGAAGTGAATGTGTTGAATGCTTACCTGGAAAATGTGCTGTCTCTTGTCTGTAGCTCAGTGCTGCAGAGCACCCTCTTGCCTAGTCTATGCACCTGGTGGATCATATTGGCCTATTTATAACCATCACTATCAGCACCTAATGACATCACCTGCCCTTGTGAGTGCCCATGAAGAGACTCAGATGACTAGATACATAGGAATATACAAGTGGCTTTGTTCCACATGCCATTTCTGTTTTGTGGGGATTTGTAAGAGGTCTGCGTTTCCAAGGAGGCCTGTTCCATTGGTACTAGTCTTGGTTCCAGCTCTCTTTTGAGTATACTCTTTATGACAGTAGTAAAGATTAAACTTTCACAATCTCAGTATTTACACGATGACAGTGTGACACTGTAATGTTGGTGTCAGACCCTCAAGTACTTTATGTAATGTAGTCCAGCTTTCTAGGCTGAACTGCCAGTAATTTTGTTGCCCTCCATTCTGAGGTAGGTGGCTGGAGGGTCAAAGGTTCAGCATCTAGCTTTGCCTCCAGGTTCTTGTACCATTTAAGTTGCTAAATCTTTACATTTAATTAGGCTACACAAGATTTCATGCCAGTGGACATTATATCCATGTTTGTTTTACAGCAAGTCTTTCGATGTTTATCAATTTGCATGAATTGTGGGAAATTATAGCTTTTAAGCACTTCCCATCATTTATCTGTATTATTTTCAGCATTACAGAAAATTAAGGTGTCACACTGTAATTATGTAAATACTGAGATTCTAAAAGTTACATATTTACTACAGTCATAAATGATATTGCAAATTGCTTCCATCGTATGGTAGAATATGCAAATAAACATTGCTAATTCAACAAATCATCAGAGTTATTCTGATCTTTGTTTTTAATGTATTAGTTTGCTTAGACATATCTTTCAGTTATTACTGATGGATCCTTTCGATTCAATGCTTTGTACTGTATGTGGTAAAGTTACTATAAACACAAAGTTCTTCTAAGTCTGTACTTCACACTCAGAGCATTCTTTGAAGCCCAAATCCTTGAAACTGTCATCTCTGCTTTCTTCCTCTCATTAGTCTAAGTGGGTTTGCATAGCCCTGAGGCCTGTGGAGAAATGCTTCAAAGGGTGAAGGCAGCATGTTTCTTCTGAGAGCTTGTGCGTATAGAAGGCCTGGTCATGTGGGAGGATCGGCGTGTGCATGCCCCAGAGTCTGATGTGACTGAGGAGCCCAGCCTGTCTCCACTGGTGATTCTCTGCAGTTGCTCATCCCCGTGGGAAGAGGCAAGCATAATGGTTAGAAGCCCAAACTATGGACAAACCCATTTTGAGATTCTCACTTTTGATTAATGATTGCGGTGATATTAATTCCAGTGTTGTCTTTATTTTCTTTTCCTGGAGATGTTTAAATTTTATTTGCACAGGCCTCCTAATGCTGTATGTATTTTATGATGGTTTTTAAAAACCTTTTAGATCTTGGCTATAATGTTGTTTTAAAATTATGATAGCTCAGTGGTAGAAGCACATGTTTTGCATGCAAAAGGGCTCCAGTTTGATCCCTGGCATCTCCAGGTTGGCTAGGAAAGAATCCTGCCTGAAAATGTGCAGTGATGCTGCCAGTCAGTGTTGACAATACAAGGCTAGATGGACCAAAGGTCTGACTCAGCATAAGGCAGCTCACCATGCTTCCACTGTTTGCTTGTTTTTTCTTTGTAATTATTTGATTGTGACTGTATTTGATTTTAGGTAATCTACTCTGGGAACCTTAGTCCACTGAAGAGTGGGATAAAGCTATCATGATGATCATCATCCCTAGGAAAGTTCCTATTACTATGAGTGGATATTGAGTATTTTCTGTGTTCATCAGCTATGGGGGTGGTTAAGACATGGGTGAGTTAGAACTGAAGCCACACACAGATGGAAGCTCTCAATTTTCTGCACCTATCTGTAGGTAGAGAAAGCGAGAGAGAGAGAGAGAGAGAGAGAGAGAGAGAGAGAGAGAGAGAGAGATTTCACTGAATTTGCCCACAGTGCAGGAGAAATTCCCTGACAGTTCTGCTACCACCAAAGTGTACAGTGAAAACACACAAGTTTTGTTGTGTGAGCGGCTTAAGTGCCATTTTGTATTCTTCACAATGCCCTGGGCCTAACATTGTTCCACAGACTTCTGCTTCTGGAGAATACAAAGAGTAAGGAAAAGAAACAGAAACAGAAAAATTCAGAATTGACTCATTTCTGTGTCAATTTTCCTCATCGGCTTTGGCTGGCTGCTTCTCAGCGCAAACACATCTAACTGTGGAATGTCACCCAAGTTTTATGACCAGTTTCCAGCCATCATCCCAGTCAATAATGTTGCATTTGATCAAAACACTGCCTAAAAATGTGCTGGTAGTTAAGGCACTCCCCAGAGCCTTTTGTATTTATGGTAGCTGATCGTAAATCCCGTGAAGTGGGCGCAGCTGTAAACCTCCAGGAGGGGTCAAATAGCTTTGCTCCCTAGAACTTTGTGCCTCCCCCTGACAAATGTGTGACACCAGTTTTCATTTTAATTGAGTTTTAATTTTTTACGGCTATGATAGATGTGGCTGCAAGACAGCAGATGGTGTTGGGAACAGCAAATTAATTATCAGGAAAGGTCATTCTTTGAAAGCACAAAACTTTCATATCGCTCCCCCACCCTTTTTTGCCAGAGAAATGTGCCTGCCAGCAACATAAGGGACAATTTTAAAAATAAAAAGAAAATAGTTAGATCAATCATATTTGTATCAATTAGTTGTCAGAGGACAAATTCAGTATGCATATGCTGTTTCCACAGCCTGTATGCAACTGATGTCAAAGCAAAACCACCATGCTTGAGAAGAAAGGCACACCTGATGCAAACTGCTGGATGAGGAGCCATTGACTGCAGTGGGATGGTTCTCATTTTCAACAAGTGAGAGTTAATTTAATAGTATTTTAAAGGAAGAAGAAGTAGAGTTCGTAAAATTCATCACCGACACCATGATTAAGTTTAACGGAGCTAAGATTTGGCCTTGAACATGTGGGAGTTTCAGTGCTTAGAATCTAGGGTGATGCAAAAGATCCCTATCTAAAATTTTAGGGACCCTAGCTAATCCTGCTCTATATGGCCCAGCTGGATATATGTCTACACAAAATGCTTCTGGGTATAACCTCCATTGCCTATAGAGAGAATAGAGGCACAGAGAGACTGGGTGCATTCACACATCATGCTGACCCACCCTGGCAATAAGCCATGGTGGGTGGGTTGTTGGACTCAGTGTGGGTTGTTCCCCATTCCTTCCCCTGTGGTCCTCCAGTCTGTATCCTAGGAGACTTGGTGGCTTAAGCTGCCTTATCTCCTCTCCTTACCACAGTCATTACACATTTTTTACTGCACCTTTCCCTTCTTTTCCCCTTCTTTGCATTTTACCAGATCATTAAAAAGGAAAGCTGTCAAGGGAGTGCAAAGCTGCAAGTGATCTTCACACATGAAAGTGTGTAGGTGTCTTTACCACTCCTTGCAGCAAAGTTCTCAGGGTTTTTATTGTTTTCCTCCAGCATAGATCTCAGTGACCCTAACTTTTTCATCCATGCCTGAGACTAGCTGTTCAGGGAGCAGAAAAATGCATTTTGCTTCCTTTTTGCTGACTCTTCCTCTGACAGTTGTCAGAAGTAGTGCTTTTTTAAAAACAACAACAACAACTGGGACTTCAGTGTGTGGTGAGGTAGTGTGGATGAGGAAGTGTACACACGGCATTTGTATGTATGTTACCCTGCTTTTGCCCTGCTTAAATCTCTGTTTTCAAAGAAAACTTTACTTCTGACAGTTGTCAAAGACAAGTTCCAGCAAAAAGAGGATGGGCTGAAATTTTCTACCTTCCTGAGTACTTGGCGCTTGGAAATAGGTGAAAAAGTTGGGAGCACTTTAACTGCTTGGGAAAGAGCAAAACCGCATTCCACCTCTTTTCTGAGGAAAGGTGTTTCGAAGCTAGCTGTCAAAGGAGGAACTGGTCACCCTCCAGATGTTGTTGGGCTACATGTCCCATAATCCTTGTCTATTATACTTGTTGCTGGGAATTGGAATGTAACCACACCTACAGGGCCCCATATTCCTCATCTCTGCTGTGACCAAACCCAAGGAAAATGTTGAGCCCTATTTTTTTATGATGGTGGGCAAGCATCTTGCTCAGGAGTTCTAGGCAATGCAAACACATCCAAAAGAGGTTTGTCCTAGGAGTGTCTGTCTTGTCTCAGGGATCCCAAGTTTGCTGCACCAAGTGAGGACTCAAACTTGACCTCCTGGGCAACAGTGTCACCCAGCCTCCACAGAAGATATGACTTCAATCACTCTCTTTGAAAAGTATTTACTATCTGGTGTAAAGCAGAACACATTCTGATCCTGGCAGCATTTGCTGACTGGTTCCAGTTAATGCGCAGATGCATTCCGGACAATAGCAGCCGCTGCTGTATCTGTGGGCGTTTAGCTTTGCTAATGAAGAAAAGTGCCTTTAGCAACTTTTAATACATTTTTCTTAATATTAGATTTTGTCCCCCTGCATACATAAATATTTGAAATTCAGAGAGTTTAAACACATGCTCATTTGCAGCATAAATATTTTAAATGCACAGCCTTTAACTTGTGCTTCTGTTCTTCCCTGCAGACTGGTTACATTTCTCCCAACTTCTCAGCAATGTAATTCATGTTAATTTACTAGAGCATGGCAGGAATGGGAAACACAATCAATACCAAGATTTAACTCCTGCTGGGTTCAGTCCATGCTATGTACTCTGCTTTTGGCCTGGGAAACAGAGCACATACTGTGGCTTGGACCTGGTAGTGTCAGAGTAATGAAGGATCTGATGGTTTTGTTTGTTTGTTTTGGTCTTTGTGTGTGTGTGTGTGTGTGTGTGTTGCACTCTTTTGCATTTCCTACATTTCCAGGTAGATGCTGAAAGTCCTGCAATTTTAGTCCGGTTGTCCACTGGGAATGTTTTTACTGATTCCAGCAAGAACTGATTCTATCAGGCATCTCAGTGCTCTGCAGATTGTGA